ACAACGGAAACAACAACAACAACATCATCAGCGATGAACCCCAGACCAACCAAACGTTCCCCGCTTCCTCCGCCGTCGCTAACAGCAGTATGTGTGTGTGTCCCGCCCCCCTTGTCCATGTTCCCTGTCTCTGTGTAGTGCGTGTCTTGCCAGTAGCAGCAGCAGTGTGTGCAGCACGGCAGTGCGTCGTGGTTTCTTGCGTGCGTGTAGTTTGTTGCCCAAAAAACAAAAATGACGCCTCCCGGCCGAGAAGTCGGGGGTGCGTCCATGTGACATAGTATATATTTGTACGAACGGTGTGCTATCTCGAGACGCCGACCACGGATTGCAAAGGTAGCGGTTGGGACAGCTCGGGCAAAATGTTCCTTGTTGTGCGCAAGTTTTAGTTTGCAATTGGTGCCGAGATGGTGAAATGGGCTCGAGTCTGCTGGGTTATTTAGGGCGCGCAGACAGACAGACACCAGACAGACAGACATCAGACAGCCATTGCGTCTTTTTCACGCCCCTGGGCATGAAAACTATTCGTTTTCTCGTGCGCACATACATCCACACACGATCCCTCTAAACAGCTTTGTTTTTGCAAAACAAAAAGCGTACCCCTAAACGGGCCACTCTTTTCGCAAAAAAAAAACTATTATAACGATAATCAAGCGTTTCTCCGACACGTGGTACTGCATACCTCGGCTCGGCCTGTCCGTATGCAAGATATTCCTTTCTCAGCGTACCTTGAAGTGCTCGGAGAGACCCCGGCGGGTAGAGAGCTAGGTGGCGCGAACCAATGACGTCGCCAACCACGAGGGCAGCTCCTTCTCGGTGCTCCCTGCGTTAACAAAAACAGAGTTAGACAAAAGCAGGGCGTGGTGCATAGGTTCTTCCAACCGGGAATGCCGTTGATACCCAGGTGGTCATGGCGCTAACAAGCGCCACCAATACCAAGATAAAACTATCGCGGGGACGCGACAACTACTGCGTTGAGATAGGAGAACTGCGCTGGTGTCCACAGGACACGCACAAAACGAAAGTGTGTGGCGACAAATCCACAAATACACGAAACACAGCAGTCCTCACATCTTCTGCCGTTTCCTGCCTGAAGAGCTGGGTTTGACCTGGTTGTCCTCCTCATCCTCGTCTTCCATGACCGTTGCCCCCCCCTCCCCTCCTAGCTCCCCCGCCACCGCCCCACCTAGCCCCCCCGCCGCCACCGTGGCTGAAGCACTCGGCAGCAGCGCGCCGCCGCCATCACCAACACCGCTACTGGGCGAGAGACGGCCATCGGCGGGAGGGCCAGGGGCAGGAGCAGGAGGCCTGCCTCCGATGCCGTCCCCGGTCACATTCCGCCTGCAGTTGTAGTTTTCGCAAGAGCACACCGTTCGTAGAAGGACAAGGTGATGGCCGCAAGCATCGACGCAACAAAGATTTATGGTTGAGAACATTCTGAACTTTGGGCTGTGTGCGGCCAACTACTTCTATTATAGTGCATATATATGAGCTAGATCATATCTGCGAAGACTTCCGGCTGCAGTTGCGATCCACTTTGTTACCGAGCTGTGAATACAAACTCTCTGGTGTTCTTCGACTGCAGAGTACCAAAAACATGATGTTCGTTGCGGGAGCCAAGCCTTCGAGCAATTCCGAGGCGCCCAAAGTTTCGAGACATTCAGCTTGCTTTCGACGCAATCGGAGATATTGGAGTGCCGTGTTGTGCTGGCCCGTTCCTTTACTGCGTTGCTGCCGTGTTTAGTGTTCGTGTCGCTTGTGGGCCTGGGTCCTGGTGATGGCGATCCTCATTCTAGATGCAGACAGTCTGTGTACCGTGCTGTAGATTAGACTACAACAGTATACCGCCGTCTGTCGCCAAGCGTATTTTCCCTTCTTGGACCACGCCAAAGGCGTCAAACGCGTCTCACCGCTGCTTTGAAGACCTCTCTTTCTCGCGACAACTTGCCGCGTTGCTTTGGAGTTGTCGTCACCCGGGTTAGGTAAACCGAAAGGCTAACATAATAGATGCGACGTTGCAGTAGTGGCATTTAAAAACAGGTAGACTATGTGTGCTATCACGCACAAACACTAAATAGTTGCACCTTGGGAACGAAACATAAAAACCATAGTTAATTCAGCCCGAGCTTTCCATGAGGGGAGACGTTTTCGCGATATGACAACCTCCCCGAGAGAGAACCCATGGCGTGTGAGGTACTGCTGCAGGTGTACCGCTGTAGTCTTCAAATGTAACTTGAGCGCTACTGACGGAGCCCTACACACTCTATGGCACATGAGGTTCTTGAACAAATACTGTCGAGGTATGGTTGAGAGCAAAGCAGAGGAAGCTGAAACGCATGTTGGTACATGATGTGAGTATTCACGTTGGTTGTGCAAGAGTACTACAGCACCGCTCTAGTAACAACTGCTGCACATACATAAGGTTGGTGCTGTAGCCGCGGTCCTGTGAAGTAAGTCTAGAGCAGTACTGCACGGGCCTTATCGTCAAGACTCACCTGATGGGATTCGCAGCTTTACGCCGAGGCATAACGACAGTCTGAATCACTAAGATCGGCAGGTTCACCAAGTGCGGCAAGCACAGTAATCACAGCGAATGGGAGGGACAACGGCCAGCGGCTAGCAGCAGCAGGCCGCGGCAAGCGGAGCGTTGAGGGGACCTCCAAAGTATATTCCCCTCCCCCCCCCCAGAAATGTGTGCAACATGTTAACCCTTTTGGGGCTGGATCGCCTTTTGGGGACACTTTTTGTCCCCATCTTATTCACCTGCTTTACCTCGCGAAGAATGGCATGGTTATGATTGTCTCCTCCTTTGAACTACTCGACCAGGGCGGTGCCGGGGTACACGGGGACAACTCTAGTCTAGTATGGATGCTTTGTAGAGTGGAGGAGTATGAGGGTAATGAACAGGTCGAATTGCGGGGCGACTAGGCACGCCGCGGGTTCAACAGCGAAGTTGTGTCGCGTCTGTCTGTCTACCGTGTGAAGAGAAACAAAAAAACAACAACAACCCTTGAGTGGAAAGCGCTCTAGGGTCAAGCGCGGAAACAGTACCTGGCCCCCCGTTGATAGGAAGCATCGGGCAACCTAGGGCTTGGGTTAGAAGGTCTCGCTTTCCCTCTAGAGAAATCTTGGAAACCTCATTTTCGTGCTCCGTGTACCACGCTCCCGCCAGTTGCTGTCTATCGAGGGGACATTTGATAGGGATCGTAGACAAGCGACGGCCAAGTGGGAAGGCAGCTTTGCACTTGCACCCAGGGATGGAACTAACTAACTGCCTGCACCATCGACGGATATCCCTGTCTCTGTGCGAGTTTGTTTATGTCCTCGTCTGTCTTTGGTTTATTTCGTTTCTGTTTTGTTTTTTTACTGGCACGTACTGCTGTTGACCCTTGGGGTCCTTCCGGAAGGCTACCCCCCGGGCTGGTGGTGCGCACGTTCCACTATTTATTTATTTATTTGTTTCTGATTCTTTTGTTTTCTTGTATTTTATCGCGCTGCTGACCCTTGGGGTCCATTTTATTTTGGTATACCTTTTCTATGTACGTTAGCCTGTGACCACGGAAATTGACCGAGTCAAGTGCTGGATTAGTACGGAGAGATTGAGACAGAAGGAGGTACTGGATAGAGAGACCGGGATGGTTTTTAATGTGAAGAAAACAACAACAACCATCCAATCAGCAGGCGTCATTCTCTCCTTTTCTTACATTTCAGAAATTTCGCAGGAACGCCGAATTTTCTGTGCTTGCTTGGTAAGAACATGTTGGCTGGATGTGGATCCACCATCTTGCTGCGCAGGTCATCAAAGTGCACGAAAATAAGAAATGTCGACTGGATGCATGCCTCATGAGCTTCGCCTCTCCCTTCTTGGTAAGAAGGAAGCGGACTACAGGACACAGTAGCAAAGGTTTATTTTGCACCTGGAGGTGGATGGTTCTCTCCTTGCGGCCCACTGGATCGGTGAAGAACGTTCTGCAGAACGGTGCATGTTGCCGTCCGGCAACTTGACGACCCCCTCCGATGCAAATCCCACACGTCACTCTCTCCTCCTGCTCACCCTCTTCTCTGCCACCAGTACGATCGTTATATATTCGCTCGACATTACGATGTTTCCTCGCGGCGCAGGGAATCTCGAAGAGATCCCTCATGAGTTAGTGCAGCGGTGCACACTCGACCGACCGGCTGATGATGGTGATGCGCCTTCGTTCGCTGCTCAACCGGCTGGTCTATCCGCTCTTTTCGACACGGTGGCTGAAGCGGACATCGGGTAAGAGCCCAATGAGGGCGTGAGAACTAGCGAGGGGGAGAGAGAAAGACACAGGCGATAACTCGCCCCGTGTCCTGTAGAAATACGATGGCTTTTCGAGACTTCGGTGAGGTTTCCCACCTCGCGCTTTGCCTGGGTCAGTGAGGAAAGCTGCTCCTGTCTGGGTCCACGACACAATCGATTGTACGAAGTATATATTTTCTTCGCTACTGAATATGTAGTAGTCTGGGATACAGGATACACCACGCTGTAGCAGCCCACGAGCGGACGGCAAACCAGCAAACCATCGCCTACAACTCTAGCTTACACCTTGCTTTACTGGAGTTTTGGGGCTTGTCGGACAAACCGCTGCGGCAAGCGTGAACTGTATTTTTTGTGGCACGTCAATGAAAGCGCCCACCACTGTTTTTTTCTCTCGTTTCATGAATATTTTTCTCCCCATAGACTAATACAGGGAGGATTACGTGCAGCAGTGAACAAACAAACGGGCTGTATCTGTTCGATAATTCGGGTGGCCCAGTTCTATGTGCTTGGAGGTTAGAGCGGGTGGCCCATGACGGGGCGTGGATGGGCAAAAACGTGTTGGGAAACGTGTTGTATGCGTGGTGTATGCGTGTTGTATTGATCGGGGCGTGCTCGTGCTCGTCAAACCATCACGGTACGAGTCACGCCTTCATGCTTTCTCACACAACGAATCTCTCTGAATCCTCATCAAAAGCCTCTCACAACCAAGGAAAATATGTAGGAAGTTCCTGTTCCTCCGCATCTCATCACTGCAATTTTCGTACGTACGTACTTAACATCTCAACCGTCATACTATGCTACGAGTACCCCCAATTTATCTAATAGTATCATGGCACGTCAACGAAGGCGCCCCTCACGGTTTTTTTCTCTCTCGTCTTGGGACTATCCTAAGCATACAGCAGTCGTGGTCCCGGTTTATTTAGCGGACCAGAATGTCACGAAGTTTGATTACCGCTATTCAGGGCATCACCGCTACATAAACACCTCTGTAGAGTAGACTAGTCTACTCCAACCAATGGTGAAACAGCGGATTACAGAAGATTTTGTTGGAGAGCGGAGAGATTCGCATGAGTCCATAAGATGCAGACCGTATGTCGCCGTTCCGCTGGGCAAACATTGTAGATTTGGAGAGCGGAGGACGGCAATCCTATCCCCATGAATGTAGGTTGCTAACAGCGGTAGTGTACCCCATAGAAAGCTTGGGCTCTGGGTTGACTCTCTGAAAACGTGATGTCTGAGGAGCATGGCAGCCAAGAGGCAAGGGGAGGCCCGGATTTCTTAGACGTCGCCGCCTGTATCCCTCATGAAAAACATCACCCACCTGACGCTCACTTAAAAAATTCGCAGTCAACTCAATTATGTCGACCCCGTAACTCACACGCGCCGCGTGCGGTACTCGTCCTTCTCTCATCCATTGGTTCGTTGCAGGTGGGGTTTCCTCAGCCCCAAAGAGTGGTGCAGGACCATGCTGACGTGTAAGCTGGCGAAGCAGTCTCTCAACTTCAAGCACGAGTGGCTGGCGGGACTGGGGTACAAGCTGATCAAGCAGCCCGAGGGGTTCTCCCCCGCCGCCCTGCTGAGCGTTCTTCTTCAGGATCCGGCGTTCAGGTTCGTTCTCGCCTTCCGTCGTTTTGGAATAGTCCATTGTGCCGCGCGGAAGGGGAAGCAGTTTGTTCGAGGCATGCTTGGGGGTTAAATGCTAATAGCGGGAGAATACACCTTCGGCGCGCTGAAGATGACATGCTCGTAGTACTCCACCCGTTCAACTTCCTCACCAACCGCCCGCTCTTTTTTTGTGCGACAACACAGCGGAGAAGCCTGGCGCACGGCACTTCTAACTGGCAAGGTCCACGAGCAAGCGAAAGCGGGAGCCGCGGCTGTCCACCTTGTCGCCTCTGAAACCCCCGCGGATTCGAGAGCATTCTGGACGGCCCGCCTCAAGGCGTTGCTGGAACTCCCCAACTTCCCGACCGGCGCACAGGTGTGTACGTGTGTAACCTGTATGCGTTTGTAGTTTGGTTGTGGGACACTATGACATCGGTGAAGAGCTTTCCGAGTGCCCCTTGTGCAGGAGGTTTGACATGAGCTCGTACGTTGTTCAAGAGATGACCGGTACGTTGACAGGGTCCTGAAAACCTCCTTTGAAACAAAGAAGAATATTAGGTGGGTGTGGCGCGATGCTTGGCAGAGTTGTTATTGAGTCTGATATGTTTTGTGAGGAGCACTGCACAGAAGACAGATCGCTGATCCGATGTGTAGGCTTGTTCACAAATATCGCTTGATGTGCTAAAAATCCATCCCGATGCACACAAAGAGGGGTACCCAGTCCCATATTGTCTAGAAACCGGGGCTATGTTGTTGTTTGTTGCGATGACGGAAGCGAGGACCCAGGGTGATATGTGGGTTTGATTTGTGTAGTCTATGCAAACGTCGGAGTTGCTTCGATCGGATCATCGGACCTGCTTCTCAACAAAAGCAGTAGGCTACGACGCGGTGACGGCAGATGTACAGCCTACACCCTCTTTGACAGCAGCGTCACAGCAATGTACACCCTGTGTCTGGTTTTGAATGAAGATGAACTTATACACACCATGATCTTCGCTATTTAACCCCTGCTCTTCCGCCGTTCTCCGTTCGAACGATTCCATCAAAACGCAGGCGGAAGAGGCGGAAATGACGGTTCGCCTTCTTGTGGACCGAGAGACGGGCGCGGGCCTGTCCGCTTTGATGAAGGCGTGCCTGTCGGTGGAAAAGCCTAACGGAACAACGACGCCGATTGTTCTGGCCACCGTCATCGGCGTGGCGCCTCGCAAACTGGCGGCCCCAGCGCTCCCCGCAGCCAAGTCTCCTCCTCCTGTTCCACCGGCTGTCCCTGCCGCCAAATCGTGGGCTTCCGTCGCGGGTGATGGCATGCCACCCGCCGCTGCTAAGCAGTCGGAGGCGGCACAAAAATGGCGGAAATTGGAGAGGAAAGCAGGATCGAAGAAGGTGGGGCTGTGGAGAATGGTGACAGAAGAAGAAGTGGAGAAATCCAAGAATATGGAGTTCCTAGACCACGAAGGTGAGAACAAGGCAGGGGAAAGAAGTCCTTCCGAAGAGTCTAGCTGTCGTCGTGAGTCCCGTTCCTTGGGAGCTTTCAGAAAAATTTCCCTCTTTCTCTTCTTTTAGTAGAATTTGACTCATCGCAGGGTTCGCTGCACCCCTACATCGGGGTTAGCCCGTCCTTGTGTACCAAGGGTCTTTTCCGGCCCTCATACCCCCACCGGGTCTGCTGCAGTATTGTACCGTAAAAACCTAATAATCCTCCTTTCCCCCCTCGGCCCCTACAACGTTATCCCTCAGCCATGTCATCCCTCATGGCGAAGGGCGGCGTGGCCTCCATCCGTACGCTGGTGATGCTCATGGGAGGAGTCGGCGTCGATGCCCTGAAGGCGGACGTGAGCACGCTTCCCAAGCTCAAGGGGCTCAGCATCCCTCGCTCGGTGCGGCGGGCGATGGTTAAGGCCCTTGCGAAAAGCTCGTGGTTCGCGCTCCTGGGCGTCTTCAGGTGCGAATGAGTGTGCACGGCGATTGGTCGAGTTTCTCGATGACGTTGCTGCTGGGGTCCTCGTTGTTGCTGGTGTGGCGTGCACCTTCAGCCGTTGCTTGTTCTTCATGCAGCTTCTCGGTGTTTTCCTGTAACGCATGACACTACCATTTACTTCCAAACACCATTTTCATGAAGACCCCACGCCCCCTCATACGCGACATCTGACGTTCACGACTCATTTCCGCTGTATGCCGTTCGTTGCATGTTTGTCGATGCTTGATCGATCTGTTTAACGTCGCGGACACAAAAACAGATTCGGTGCCTTCTTCAAGAACCTGTTCAAGTGCATCCACATCGCCGAGGTGCTCAAAGACAGGGAGGGAAAAACCAAAACAGAACCTGACAAGGCCAAGGTGTTCCTCCTCCAAGCGCTTCTGAGGGGCGAGCGCTACCCCCGAACCCAATCCGCGTACGACGCCCTCGCCAAGGCGGGGAAACCCTGGCACGAGCTCATCGCCGCCCCTCTCGCTCGGATTGCCGAGGACCCCCTATTTCGGGTGGCCGACGAATGGACCGCGCCTGGCTTCCAGGAGAGCCTGGCGGGAGCGAAGATCCCGCTGCCCCGGTGCACGAGCGTGGAGAGCATGCTGTGCGCCCACGGCAACAGAAGCGTCACCTGGCACGCGATTTTCGAGTGCGGCGAGATTACTTCGAGACAGGTGCGGAGAGGATACGGCGTACTGTTTGTTAAGTAGGTGTTACGCTCTCTCTACTGTTCACAAGATGTAAAATGAACTAGCAATACAACGAAAATACTGCCAGCCCATCACCCCTCCCCCATGCACGTTTTGAATGTATTATCATATTTTCTTACCATGGTTTTCACCCCCCGGTCGTCTTTCTGGTTGTCCCCCTTTCAGATTCTCCGGAACGTCGTCAATCTGGCCATGATCAACTTCCCAGTGGAGGTAGTCAAGGTTCAGCTGCTCAAGTCAATCGACGGCGCTCCCATGTCGGACCTGCTGAAGGTGAGACCCCGGAATACTACGGCGACGTATGCGTCTGTCGACTCTGCCGCTGTTGCCGCTGCAGTGCGACCGCTATAGGTTTTGTTTCTCCTTTGTTTTAGCTGCCTGTAGTCTCGGATATTGCTGCTGCGTTTGCTGTAGATCTATCCCCGGACCCGCAAATTATTGTCTTCTGTCGTTCGGGTGAAAGAGGAAGGAATAATTTTTGGTTTAGGTGTCGGTCAGTCAAGCAAATCAGTCCACTCTACATGTCCCTCCTTCCCACCGAAAACGGTCGCCGCGCCGCCACACGCCCGTCAGGTGTACACCTTGCTCAAGAAGAAGTTCACGAGTACCGAGGTGTCGGCTCTCGGCCAAGAAGCGTTCGAGACGTCCTTCAAGGCCTCCAACAAGATCGAGGCCGACAACAACGCCGTAGAGGAAGACGCCGCCGACCCTTCTTCCGCGCAGGCGGCGGCACCGCTGTGGCGGAGGGTGCGACGCAAGCGCAAACAACCCCAAGCGAAGAACACAACGTTTGTCCGACCCGCCGCCTTCTTGGACCAACAGGTCGAAACCGCCGAGAAGGTTGTGCCGCATGTCCACCCGGAACCACCGCCGAGCAAGAAATCGAAAACCGATGACGAGGCTTGCCCCGGTGGGCCGGTTGTGAACGGGGCCGACGCCGGCCCCGCGGCAGAGGTTAAGGAGGGTTCGAACGAGGTGAGGGTGATGCGGGAGTACAGCGTGGCGGACAAGAAAGGGCAGCGGCACCAGATCGTCCGGCCGCGCACGGTATCGACCAGCTTCGGGCAGCCGTGCGTCGACGCGTACGTCGGCCTGGTGGTCTCGGCGCTGTCCCAGAAGATGGAGCAGCTATGCTCACTGCCGGCGTTGTCGTCGCCTCGCGATAGAATCCCAGGCGGCACCCGCGGGGACTCGCCCGTTCCTATGGACACGGAACAGACAAGGGACGTCATCGTGGGGGCGACCGTTACAACGGACCAAAAGGCCCGGCCCGCCGAGGAACCAGAGTCACACCCCGGCGAGGCTGGAGCGGCGGGTGGCATCGATGAAAGCGCGAAGGGAAACGGCGTCGTTGGCGTGGTATCGTACACGGAGGAGCTGCGCGAGAACGTCGTCAGGACGGGAGTGCCGCCGCCGCTGCCCAAGTACACCAGGGCCCAGCTGTGGAGAGGAGAGGACCTCTGCCTGGATCAGCTCGGGGCCGGGGGCATGAAGGAACTCTTGGTCGGCATCACTTGGTGCGAGCCAAAGGGATCTCACAACAGGATCGACCTTGACCTGTCGGTGATGGTGAGAAACGATGAATGGGGTAGAGACGCCTGCAATTGTAATGTTCAATGCCGCATCCATGTGGCGGGAGCTTCATCGTTAGTGTTGGGGAAGGACACTCGTGAAGAAACCGGTCTTCTTCGCTTTTTTTTTTTGCGACTTGTACCGTAAATGCCACCCAATACTTCCGCTGCCGAGGCCTCCATAACTCCATGACCAAGCTTTAACTGTTCTGACGGATACCGGACGTTTCAATCGATGCCTCGCCGTTGAAACGTGTGCCAGGTGTACGATTCCGACTGGAACCACCTTGCCGACTGCAGCTATTCGACCCCGTCCCTATACATCGCTGGCGTACAGCACTCGGGCGACTTCGTGACCGCGCCCTACCCCGACGGCGCTCGCGAAACCTGCACCATAGACTTCGCCAAGCTCAGAGAAGGGTTCCCGAAAGCCCGCTACATCGTCCTCGCCGTGTACAGCTACTCTCGCCAGAAATGGGACGATCTAGAAGACGCCTCGGTTTTCGTGGCAAACCCCCACATGCTGGGTACGGGCCCCGGGGGCATGTCGGTCATTTGTGCGGCGAGACTGACGGGTTCCGCCACGACAAGTGTCGCTGGATACCTCGACCTTGGCAGCCCAGGCATGTCCGAAGCGAAAAAGCCGCAGGGAGAAAGCGTCTTCGGCATTCGCCAAAGCGTCTTGGAGAGAAAAGAACCGGCACCAGCGCCCAGCAACGACGCGCGTGTGCACTTCGTTTTCACCGACCAAGAGGCAAGGATCGGCAGCGGTGGGCACCACGCACTGGGCTCCAGAGACACCGTGGGCACAATCCTGTCGAAGGTGCGTTGTGCGTGGCCAGTAGTCGAGAGATTAACCTTACGATGGCGCAGATCCTGCTGCCAGAGGGTGGGGCTTGGAATTCGATTCCCCTCTCAGCCACCCACCCCCCTTGTTCCGGGCGCATCCATCAAAGTGATTGCAATTCAGGTGACAAGTGTTTGCATCTCGATTAGGGCACCAACTCTACCATTGGACCTACCTCCTTTGCATTAATTCACGGAACCCCTCGTTAGTGTTGTCCTCGCGCGTGGAAAACCGAGACAGGTGGAAGAGTCGCGCAAGAGTGCCGGGAGCCAGAGCCTGGCGGACGCTGCTGCTTTCCAGGCGGCCCTCGTGTGCGACACGGTTCGCATCATCCACGAAGAGCGAAGCCAAGGTCCGTCTACGCCCACGTTCAGGACCCTGGTCCGGGGGGACGGCGAACCTCGCTTCCCCTTCTACGAGCGGATTGCTGCTGTGCTCGAAGACTCAAGTCCGATCGCCCCGGCCGCAGCCAAGAAGAAGGGTCCCGGTGGGGGTGTCAGCAACTATCCCGCCGCGGCTCTCGGTTCAACCGCCGGCCACGTTGAGCCGCAGCACACCCTGTTTTTCGGCGGAGATTTGGACGACTGGCTCGAGGTGACGCGCCAGCACGAGATGGGCGCAAAGGGGGGAAAAGGCACGCTGACCCTTGTGAACGTGCGGTCTGCGGAGAAGGGCTGGACGAAAGCCAACGAAGCCAGGGTGCTGAGGGTTAACGGCGCGACCTCGTACGAAGAGTTGACGCAGGCAGTGCGCGAGGCACGTGGCGGTGGTGGCGGTGGTGGCGGTGGTGGCGGTGGTGGCGGTGGTGGCGGTGGTGACAAGTGAGCACGCCGACAAAAGGAGAGAATCGCCCTTGAATTGCGAAAGGAGGAGTGAAAGAGGGGAGGACCTGGTTGAGCAACCCCAAACCAACACCATCTCTCATGCATGTGCGGTTGGCACGAACTATGTATGTAACAGCTTGCATTGTGCGTGGTTTTGTCATCCAGTGGAGGTTTGTGCCGTTAAGGCTGGGTACAAGTCTGAAGGATGCGCAACTACAGTAGGACTCTGTGCAAATAGGGTGTTTTCTATCTGGTACACATTTATAGTAAGGTGGCGTGAAGATACTGGGATAGAGCATGGTACTGCATTTTTTTTACGTTGATATCTTACACGTGACAAACTGCCGTATGGTAGCTGCAACGACAGATGCGGGGAGACCGTCCGAAAAGTTGACCTGGCCTTGAACACGTAGATTCAGAGCATGTAGATAGATTCAGAGTGTGGCATCTTGAACGAAATAACTCGTTGGAGCTCCAGTTACAAGATGACACCTCAACTGCAACGATAAGAATTGTTGCACGTGCTCTCAATGACGTCGAAACTCGACGCTCTCTTAAAAGATCCCGCCCCCTGCCTAACTCTCGGCGGGTACACCGAAGATTGGGTCCCCGCGTGTGCCGTGATGAAAAACAATCAACTAACTGGAGTTGAGCCTCCACAATTATTTCTAGGGGGATTGGGGGCCACTATTCGTTTGTCGACACAGTGCCCCCTGTTTGATGATGTCGACGAGTCATGTTCTCGTGTTGGCTTGTGCGGTGTTTTCATCAGGCGAGCTTCATGCTCAAGTACAGGTCGACGCCTGCCGTTTGATCATGTTTTAGTGCCGACAAACCAAAAACCCCAACATCCAAACGGTAGCCTTGTCGGAACACATGCTCCGAAGACGAACAACTTTGGAACACGCACAGCTCCTGCAGTTCTATGCATGTCGGTAACTGTAGATATTATTTGCGGACAATCGTTCAGACTTGAGGCTCTGACCCTTGCTCGAAATGTAGATGTTTTTTGAGAAGCGGGCCAGCTGCAGGTTCTATTTTTCGGAGAAACCGGAGATGCACGGCAGTCCAGCGTCCTGCGGAAGATACGAAGATACGAAGTACTCCACTGGACCGCTTCTAAAGCTCGCTTTCCCTGCAGCACAAATGAACCCCGAAGGGCAAAAGGCGACGTTCAAATTATTTCGAACAGAGCGTTCCAAGAGTATATCGCTTGAATTTGGCATCCTCTTCGCGGTGGAGTACAGCAGTAGTCGAGCTTTTAAGGAATGGGTTCGGGGGGTGGTATCTTCCGCAAATGTATTCATCGACCGTCACATCGGCGGTTCCAGCACCGATGAACCCAGGGGTACAAAAACATACGAGAGGAACATAAAGAACAACAAAGAAAAAATCCTGTCGTTCGACCTCACTCGTCGATACGAGACAGACTCTTAGTCAGGGTCCACAACAAACGATGGCAAATCTGCCACGTGTGTGACGTACGTACACGTACGTTGTTGGAAAAATAGGGATTCTTTCTTGAGGGGACCCCACGATATCCGCCAATCACGTCTCCCCCCAGCCAAAAGTCGCGGTTGCCGGCACCGGTTGATCTGTCTAGTCCTCAACGAGCAGCAGCCCTCGTTCCCCTTTCCCAACGGCCAAAAAGCAGCAACCATGCCGGCCGACTATGCGATTCAGATAGTCCTGGCGTACTGCATCGTCCCCCTGCTGTCGTTCCTCGTGGGTGAGTTTTCGTGCGGTCTGTCTCGCGAGCCCCGAGAGGTCTCCAACTTCCTGTATCAAATGTCGAAACGTCATGGCGACCACACCTCCTATGTCGCCACGCACCTGCTGTCAAAGGCGTAGGAGAAAAAAGACAGTGGTTTTGCCCCGGTGCATCAGAGACCTGGAGGACCATGCTCGGTGGCCAGTCGACTGCAAGTGTTGTCGTTGGGAATTTTTCAGGTGGACTTGTCGTGTCGCCACCTCTGAAGACGCCGCGCACACGAACGATCCTCCTGAATGAGGCAAACGATCGTGTAGCTGCGGGCGACCTTTCACTCGCCAAGTGCCGGTCTTCACACACTAAGGTTGCTTCTTCACTGCTGGGTGTTTTGACTAGCCTTGAGCGAGCACGGTGTGTAGACAGTAGTAGCAGCCGCGGCTTCCATGGTGAGAGAGTTGGATCGAAAAGCGCTGAAATTGGCGCGAGATTGAAGTGTGTGCAGGCTGCAGTTGTTGTTGTCGCTGCTGTTGACACGTACACATGCTGTTGTTGGCAGACAATCATTTGTGTTCATGTTGGTTCCACGACGTTGCGGCTTGGCCAAGTTCTACCTGCGTAGGCTTGAGGTGTTGAATGCGCTTTGGTTGGAATTTCTCAGCAGGGAGGTTTGCATGTGTGTGGCAGCATCAGCGCTGCTGCTGGCTGGTCCTACAAGGCTTGACGCGTGGGGCTCCGTGGAATGCAAGTTTACCTCGGAAATATCGCTTTCCACGCATGTATCTCTCCCCATCCCACCCCGCCGCCGACAGTGCTGCGATCAGTGAGAAAGGCGAAGGGCTTCTATTCCGGGGACGGACAGAGATCGGGCTCTACCGTACATGCCGTCATCGCTTCCGTTGCTACCGGCACCCCACAATACCGCTGCACACAAGAACAGGTGAACCGGGTGTAATTTCGCAACGGTTACGGAAAATCTTGAAGAGAGGTTACTTGACTGTGAAGAGGACTCAAGCTGCCTAGATGCATTCCTGCTGTGCTTGAAAGACGTTGGTAGTAGCATGGGGCGTGCTGGTTGGAATGGGCACTGCTGTAGACGCAATCAAAAAACGTGTTTTATGTGGAATAAAAATCACTGTAAATCGCGAGTAGTTGCGGCAGAAGAGAACGGCAAGATTTCCATTCCCTGATCCGTGTAACGTGTAAACGCGGTGTAGTCAGCAATGCGGTGTGCGATCGATGTCGCCGAACTTTACACGTACTAATTCCAACAGTATTTTTTTGCCGTATCGATGCCACAAACATGGTCTCCATACACGCACGGCGATCAAAGCGCACCGCTCCTTGAAGGATAGCATGCGGCTTTCAAGATGGGCAAGTAATGCGGTGCCAAGACGTGTCCCGCAGTGTGGCAGGCCGTCAATCACAGGAGGATGGATCACTCCCGACTCAAAACCAACCACCCATTCTTGCGAAAAACCCAATCACCCCACAGGCACTTCGCGTAGCTTCTAAGGTACCCGGGACCAAGAGCGTGAGACCAACGCTTGAGCGCTTGTACCGCAACACGTGCATCGGCAGCCGACACTTCGCGGTGCCGGACTTCACCCCGCAGAAGCGGGCCGAGGGAGACAAGGCGCTGTTCCCGGCTGACGGGAGCTATGAGGTGTGGGGTGAACGGTTGCTGCTGCTGCTGCTGCTGCTGCTGCCGCTGTCTGTTGTCACAGCTGCTGCTGCTGCTTTTGTGGTTGTGTTGTGCACGGCCCTTCTGCTGCCGCTCCCGCTGGTGTCGTCGCTGCAGTTTGTAGGGGGGGTTGTTTTGGCGGTCCTGCTGCGGCTGCTGCTGCCGCTGGTTGTGGCCGTTTCCCTTGCTCCGTGATGAAGAGTACTACAACACACACGCACAAAATACGTCGTCATACCTCCCACACCGACAGCATCTGTATTCGCTTGTAAGGCTCTACACATCTCTCTCACACGGCCTTAGAACAGACCACCCTCGCCCTTGTCCCCTGTCACCATTGCCGTGCCGCCGTCTTCCATCCAACAACCACAATAACCACGGCGCACTTCGAAAAGGTGCCCGTGGACGTCCGCCTCGCCAAGTTTAAGCAAAAGGCGGCCCCGCTCGTGTGCGACGTGGCGCTTCGGGCCATCAAAGAGTCAGGCGTCGATGTCTCCCAGATTGCGAAGCTAGTGGTCGTCTCGTCGACGGGTTTTTCTGGCCCTGGCCTAGACTGCGACCTCATCAAGAACCTGGGTCTACCGCGATCCGTGGACCGGACCATGGTGGGCCTGATGGGATGCGCGGGGGCGTTACACGGCCTGCGTGTGGCGAGCGACTTCGTGATTGTGAGTTCACCTTTGGTTTCCGCCACTGTTTTTTAATGGTTCCCGTCATCGTCATTGCCGCGAGCCACGTCACCCCTCCCCCCCCCCCCCCCCCCCCCCCCCCCCCCCCCC